GTTGACCGTGGTATCTGATGTGGAGTCTAAACCTGGTGAGGAGTGGATTATCGATTCGGCATGTTCGCATCATATGTGTTCCAATCGAAATTTCTTTCAGACATATGAAATTGTCAAGCAAGGTGGAGTTGTAATGGAGCACAACGGGTATTGTCGTATTGCTGGAATCGATCGAGTCAAACTAAGGTTGCAGGATGGGATGGTCAGAATAATTGTGCAGGTTCAACATGTTCCAGACTTGAAACAGAATCTCATCTCGCTAAGTGCTCTGGATACAAAAGGGTATAAATTCTCTGATGAAGGTAGAGTCAGTAAGGTTCGAAGGGGTGTCCGGGTTGTACTTGAGAGACAAAGAAGGTCTCAGTTGTACATCTTGCAGATGGGAGCAGAAACCAGTTAAGAGACATTTAGACAAGTTTAGTACTGTGATGTATATACAGTTTGATAAAGTACCTTTTGTGGTGGGCTCTGAGTTGGTTAAGAACATTGCTAGAGAGAGCGTTGGTGATTTCGCTTTGCTACCAATTTCAGTTGATGCACTGTTCATTTGCTATGGTTGGACTCATGGAACGTAGGTATCGTAGTGTTAACAGTGTTTGGGATGTTTTTGGAGACACTAAAGGTGACAGTTTTAGCAATGGGCTTTCTGATCTAGCATGTGTTATGGTTTCTGTTACAAAGTGTGCTTCGATCATGTTTGGTCAATAGTAATTCCTTTGTGAAATTTTGGGAACCATGATTTGAGTTTAGATGTCGCTTGTGGATGCCTTGCAGAAGACAATTATTTGGTTTGGAGAGTTTTGGTTATTGTGTCGAGGAGATTGGCTATTTCGATGCAGACGGATTAGAAATCTTGGAGTTTCATTCGTTGCACCGGGATTTGGGTCAATGTGGAGATTGTTGGATTTGTGACCCAAATTAGGGTGAATTTTTTTGGAAATAAATTATTTCCTTATTTTTATGTGGGAAAAAAAAATTCTTATATTTCACATGATTTTTTATGGAAACATATTATTTCCTTATTCCACATTATTACCATCTTTATGTTATGACATGTACCTATAAATAGTGATTTTCTCTTTCAGTTTTGTTCAAGCAAGAATTGTCAAATTCTTTTATTTCTCTCCATATTGTCAATTAATAAAACGTTTTGCGTTTGCGATTAACTCTCTTTGTTAATTTCTTTATTTTAAATCTTGTTTCTTATTGCGATCTTCATTACTTGATATTGCGTCAGTAATATAATTCACTACAATCCTTTAGGGTTCAACAAATTCGTGATCCGAAAACTTCCAATTAAAGAGCAATGGATGCTGAAAGTCACCTGAATGTGGAAATTGGCAGATCCATATCGCCATTTCGCTGTTTCACAGAATCGTAACGAGTAAAAATGAAGAAAAAAAGTCCAATTATGAAACCTATAAACAGAACATACAGCTCTGTGAAAACTCTAACACGAGCATTGCTTGAACTAGAACTTGTGATGGAATTGAGAACATGAAAATGCGAGCATTTATAGGAGCAAGTGGGGTGAATATATAGTAAGAGTAAGCAAAATGAACTAAATTAAATGAATTTCAACCTAAATAATTGTAAATGCACTCACTTTTTTTGCTTATACAATCGGTGTTGGGACATATAAAGCAAGATACACAGAGGAGGGAGAAACGTGTTTTTAAAGAGAGGGTGTGCATATATGAATGACCAAAAGAGCACGATACAAATTAGGCTCTGATCAGTGGGAATTAAAATTAGATTTTTAGCAGGTTTTGATAAAAGTTTTTAAAATGTGTAGTTTAAAAGTTGTGAGACCCATGAAATATGTGTGATTAAAATTGATTGTTTGACTTTGATTTAAGTCAATACTAAATAGGGCCTAGATGACTTAGTCACCTTGGATATTTGACTTCAACTTATCATTCGAAATAATTTCAATAACATATATAAGCAAGCTTGTATTACTTATTTTCCTTTGTCGATTTATTGCTTCTTACTTCATAAATACTAAGAATTAAATCAAATAGTGGAAGTGAATATGTCGAGCGTGTAGTATTTTCGAAGTAGTTTTGTTTGACGGATTCAACCTGTGTTTGAGCTCCATTTTTCATTAAAATACATTTTGCAACAGTGATTTGACTTCATTTCAATCACATTTTTCAATAAAATAATATTACATACAAACCCAAAATTTTTCTTTATTTTTTAACTACACATTTCCCATCACAACACTATTTGAAAATGCATTTTTTTGAAGAAAATGTGGCTCAAACAACCCCTCAATGTTATAACGTCAAGAGCAAGATTAATATTCTTGAAGTATGTTTATTCGATAGAACACACGTAGTGCCAACAACAAGAACATTATTCTCGAAGTAGGTTATTTGACAGATAAGATGATAAGGGTGTCAACAATGGAATTAGAGAGAAAATATGACGACGAGGCACGAATTCCAACGAAATGGGACTACGTGCATTATCATTATGTGTAGATTCTAGAGTTTCTAGATGATTGATCAATCGTGTTCTGAAAAATATCGATCCCACTTATTTTGAACATGTTTATCCAAAAATGATCCTCAGCCTGTCTAATTATATTTATTGATAATTTATTGATTGAGCAAATGTAAATTATCGCTATTGCTTTGAAAAAGAAAAAGCACCACACTGACCAACTATCCAGTTCACAACAAGAGAACAATGCTAAGTAAATGTTTCGACGATGAGATAGTTAAACATTCTTGATTTTTATTTTCTTCGATTATGTATTTTTTTTCTAATTTGTCTGTTCATTCACTATAAACTATTATTGATTTTCATTAACTAGTCAAAATATTAGATCTCAAATACATAGAAAGGGCACGTATACTCTTTTTTTTTCAAAGCAGTAGAGGAATTTATTTAAATACTAATGTCCATTGAAAATTGCAAATAGTTTACTTTACCAAATATTCAATAATTACATATCAAATTTAAATCAGTAAATATTTAATAAAATTTTAATGAAATTAACATGTAGATAGTGTTGACCTCGTTTTTCCGTTAGGGTGACGTAGACAACCGATACCGATCTTACTCATGTACACTAAGCAAATTTCGACACATAGACGGGATGCTAACTGAAAAATACTCCAAGTTAGGAAGTGGGAGATGTTTTATAACATGAGACGAATATGTTCAAGATTTGGCAATATATTCTAAGATCAATTTGATAATAAACGATCGTTAATGATTTGAAAAAAGTAAAGTAAACAAAACTCAAACAAAGTCCGGTGTATATTTGACAAACAGTAGGTTCAAGTTTATTGAGTTGTATTAGTTTTCAAATGATACATGCAGGGAGTATTTATAGTGTTACAAATGAAACGACGTCCATTGGATGAAAATTCGCGTGATCTCATCTCCTTGCCCGAAGCATACAATCCTAGACATCAATTTGGCTTCCCTAGCCTATGGCGCATTTAATGCTATTACAAAGAGTAGCCACCTTATTATATAAATTGACAAGACAAAACATTTTACTCATTATAAAAGTTTTATCAATCATTCCAAAAGGATTTCCCATATAAATTTAGAATCCTCATTCGTGGGTCGTTGCTTGTTATAGTTGGGCTTCGGCTTTGGTCTGTGTCGAGCTTTATCACCTCAACAAACAAATGAGTTTAGTTTCAGGGCTTCGTCCTTGACAACGGACCGCTTCGACTGATGTGATTTTCCAATTGAAGTGGGTCGACAAGTCCAGTAATCGACAAAGGGGCCTCAGTGGACTTGTCACATGTGGTGGCGCAACATTTATCTATAAAATGAATGATGAAATTGAATATTTTGAAAAAATTGGTGGACAAAATTTGAGAATCACATAATTTTTTTTTAACTTATTTACTTCCATACATTTCTCTCCCTAGTCTTTACCCCAAATACGGGTTCTACATTGTTAGTCCATATATTTTTCAGATGTTTTAATATTTTGTGCTGATTGGTGCAATTATGATCGATTCACTCAAAGTGATTGTGTTAAGCATATTTTTGGACAATTATTTTATAATAATTGAGTTAGAGTACATTATTAGATATTGGACCATAATGAAATGGAAAAATATTTTTAGAGAAAAACTGATAATTCCTATAATTAACTTTACATTTTGATAAATGAGAAAAACATTTCACAAAAATTGCTAAAATTAGATCACTTCAAAATAAAACAAAAAAATATATGTTAGAATATTATGTAGTGGAAGGGTTTGGTAGGTTCATAGATTAGAAGATTCGTTAGAAGAAAAATTGAAGTATACGGTGATTTTTATCGTGTGGCATGTAAATTTTTTACATATCAGTATCATATTTGATGAATTGTTTTAACGAAAGCTAATTGTGACTCTAATTCGTTCTTTATAATATAATTGAAAAAAATTCATATATCATGAATTCACGTGAGATGTAAAAAGCAATTGTAATGTTGTCTTAAAGAATAGCGACAACTGCATGCGACGATTGTCCATGTAGACGTAAATGACTGTCAATTATGACGATTGTGATATTTGATGGGATGTTTAGCAACATGCTACTATAGCTCGTATGAATCATATCTCTTTTATATTGCATACTTGTGATAATGAATTTGTGACCATCCGTGTAAATGGAAAGATAAACATTATTTTTACAAATCAAGTGAGCGATCCACACTCCCTCTCAAAAAAAGAAAAAAAAATTGAGAACATCTTGTTTAAGTTATTATAAATTTGAAAATATTATCAGAAAATATTAGAAAAATTATAAATAAATTTTTGAAAATTTTGAATTTAATTAAATTCCTAAACATCTGATTTAAAATTTTTTTTATTCATCACTTAATCTGTCAGAGTAAAAGTCAAAGATTTGATAGGTTTATTTTTTTTTTTATTTATTAGTTATTACTGGATTGAGGTCCAAACAAAAAGGGATTAAAATGGGAAATAATCTCGTAAAGCCCAATTAGGAGGCCCACTACAACTAATGTCGTCCGTTTCTGTTATTCATGGAGCAAAAGGGTACATGCTGCTGAGGTTGTCTTCCTCGGTAATACGCTAAAAACTGGGGGAGAGGCAAAAAGGGAGAAATCAACCGTCACCAATAAGTTGCGTTGCAGTGATTTCTGACTCTACTTCTTCATCAACGAAATTGGAAGGTGGTATCGGATTTTATTAGTGTAAAAACGGGCTTTTTATGTTGAAATCGCACTCGATTGATTGTTGTGAATTATTTAATCTCAACTCAAGTCCTTATAACTTATTTATTTTCCAAAATTATTGTTTCTTGATGGTAATCTTCCTCTAGCAACAGTGGGGTTTTCAACAAAGTTTCTCTTAAATTTTCTATGCGGTTGTTTATGATTTTCTGCATGCCTTAAAGAACTGGTCGGCCCTCAAATGTAATAGGTGAAATACTCAGGACCAAAATCCAGTGGCTGCCCCAACTAGACCCCTGGTGGCTCCACCCCTGAATTAAAGTAATGTTCGTTTAAGAACTCAATGCAGAAAAGAAAAAAGTTTAAATATTTCTTTGTTTTCTTCCTTGGAAGGGGAAAAAGAAAATTTGGGCAAAAGCAATGAAGAGGATGGAATAATTCCAATGGCATCTTCTTTGATTTTGTTAATGGATTTCTCCTTTTAACTATCAAATTTTTGAAATTTGCTTTCTAGGCTTGGCTTTGTGTTGGTGTGATTTTAGTTAGCCGCTGAAGAAGTGTTAGTTAACTTTTATTTTAGAATTTATGTATGTTTCAAACTCAGCATTTGAGCGATTGGTAAAAAAAAGTTGTGTTATTGTTGCGCCCATATACATTCACTAAAATAGGCATTGATTATAGTAATGTCATTTTATATTATCATCATTAGTGAAAATTTTATTAGAATATTAATAAATACTTACCCACAAGCATATGACAGTGAAGATTTAAATTTTATTCGTGAGGTCTTGGAAATGCTAAAATCAGAATTCGACTACATCTTAAAATTTGCTGCCATATGGTACAATTTTTTTCATAATCAGTTTTTTAAAGTTAACCCAACACTTAGAACAGCTATGCTTGTTAGAAAATACGGAGTTTGGTCTCTAAATAGCAATCCCAAATAGAGCCTTATAACTTCATTGTTTGCTTTACTAATGGATTTGTGATATATGAAAGGGGTATTTATCCTTTCAAGACTTTGGAGGATTTTTTTTTTAACCTTTAGTTGTGGTTGAGAACTTTGAGTCAAATGGAATCCTCTTGGTATGTTGCAACTTTATATTTGAAATCACTTTTCTTAGTAGTGATTGAATGAGTTTTAACTTGTATTTTGTTGTTTGTCTTAATTTAATTCGTATGTTGATTTATTTTTTTAATTTAGCCCCCTAACATATTGTTCTAACTCCACTCTAACGTATTGTTCTAGGTCCGCCCATGTATAATAGTTAAACTTTTTAAAGAAGAGTATTTATTTACATTTATAATTTCAACAAATTTAAATAATCCAATTATGCATGGCTTTTAAAATGAACAATATAGTCAGTTATTAAGAGAGTCTAATGAGCAAGAGATTAATTATTTGGAATGGTAAAAATGCTGGATATCAACTGGATCTAAATTGGACAAAATTGAAAAAAAGAAAAGTTTCTGGTTAATCTATATTGGGAACCAGACAGTTCTATGGCATAGTGTCAAACCAAGAATCCATGGTGTTCCCCTGAAACCATTCTTTTAATTATTATGGCTTTACTCCTGGTGTGTTGCACCAACTACTACACTGGATTACCACTATAAATAAACAAAACGCTAAGAGAAAATTATTCGTGTTCTTCTTTCATTAATGCAGAGAAGCCGACCTCATTTATCTATTTTCTCCTCTCTTCTTCTATATCATCTGCTAACCCTTACCCTAAGTAATAGCAAACCATAATTGCAAATGGAATATCTCTCGTGTTTGGGCCTGGGCCAAACTTCAAAATTTTCTTGTTCTCTCTGAATTCGGCAAAGATCTTTCTTCTTGCACATAGTTTAGCATTTAGACTCAGTCTGGGAAAAATGCCGATGCATCCTTTAATATATTTTGCTCAATTATTATTATTATTATTATTATTATTATTATTATTATTATTATTATTGTTATTGTTATTGTTATTGTTATTGTTATTGTTATTGTTATTGTTATTGTTATTGTTATTGTTATTGTTATTGTTATTGTTATTGTTATTGTTATTGTTATTGTTATTGTTATTGTTATTGTTATTGTTATTGTTATTGTTATTGTTATTGTTATTGTTATTGTTATTGTTATTGTTATTGTTATTGTTATTGTTATTGTTATTGTTATTGTTATTGTTATTGTTATTGTTATTGTTATTGTTATTGTTATTGTTATTGTTATTGTTATT